TTCTACTTTGCAAAATAGTGTATGAGTATGATGTTTGGGAAACACAGCGTTCTGGAAGGAGGGCAGGGTACAAACCCCCTCCAAGGAACCAGCTGTAGCACGCTGCTATGAGGAAGAATGCTAAATGGGACCCTGCGGGGTGCTGGGGCAGCTCAGAGCCATGGGTTTTCAGTTCAGTGACATTACCAGAAGTCCAACGAGAGAAAGACCCTGGGGTGTTTGGGTGGCCCCTCCTCCCCACTGGGGTGGGGGAGTATGGGGGGGGGAGGTGGGACAGGTTGGGAGTGTGGAGCTCAGAGCCATGGAATTTTCAGCTCAGTGATGTCACCAGAAGTCCAATGTCACCAGAAGTCCAATGAGCAAAAGACCCTGGGGTGTTTGGGTTGGCCCCCCCACTAGGGGGGGAGGTGGGACAGGTTGGAAGTGTCTAAGTACCCTGCAGCAGCAGGATCCAGCCTGAGTGTCCGTCGGTTTTAACCTGACCAACGGCCTTCATAGCACCACATGGAAACAGACCTCTTGCTATGGTATTTGACAGGAACTTCCGGCACGGTCTGTGTCATCCCGGCTTGCTGTAGAAGGGCAGCCCTCATGCCTACATCCTTGCCCCAGAAAATTCTTGTGACCTGCTCCAGTGAATTGAGCATCTGTTTCCACCCCTCGCTATTCCTCCCCTCAACCCTCTGTTTGCCCTAAATTAGCTAAAGCAAGTCTAGCCACAGTGTCTTAATGACTGGCAAGAGGGCACATGAATATCTGTGTCAAGAGGGAGGCAGTTTCTGGTTTCCTGGCCCTGTCCTCATCAGCATCCTTTTTGCCGCCAAATCCTAACCAGAGCTCCAGACCCGGCACTATCCCTCACTTGGGAGATGTTAGGCTCGTATCTCTGTGAGTCTAGAGTGGGATGATGGGTCAAAAACAATTCTATAAATTTAACCAGGTGAAACTCATATTAAAAAAGTTAGTTTCACAACAGCAGGAAGACCTTAGCTGTAAGTCCAGTGAAAGTTTCTAGGGTTCTTGTTGACTACCAGCTTAGAATAAGCAAAAGCAAAGTATTTTTATTTTTTTTTTATAAAAGCAACTTCAGGCTGTATAGAAGTGGAATTAACAGAAGTGGAATAGTGAAAATTGTTGCTCTATTCTATGCTGCATCTTGGTTCTGAACCCCCATATTTTATCAGGAACTTGAACCAACAGGAGAAAACCCAGAAGAGAGTAGCTTGTGATCTGGAAGCCACGTCAGCTGAGGCAGAAGGAGATAAAACCTCCAGCCCCTAAGGAGACTTGAGAGCCACCACGAGCTGTATCTGTGTTTGTCTTCTAGAGTGAGTGGACGTTTGTGCATTGCTCTGATAAAGCTAGAACAAATGGGTAGAAGATAGAGGGAAGGGCATTCTACTGAAGAATATTCTTAACAGAAGCCACTTCCCAGCAATGGAATATGTCACCTCAAGAGCAGGGAGCTCCCTGGGCCCCTTCAGAAGCGAATAGCCAAGGACAGTGAGAGTAGCTTTCAACATTGGACTCCATCAGTTCCTCCAACTGGAACTCTCTGGTGCATTACATATTTGTTCAATGGCTCCTACTGACTTTTATTCTGTGGCTAATCAAAAGCTATGGAAAAGGGGAATGGATCCTGGGCAGGGAGTGTGCTGAGACTGAAGAAGAAGGATCCAAAAGTCAGATTCTGCCATGAGGGAGGAAAAGCCAGATAATGACAGTGAACACAAGGGAGGCCGCCAGGGAGCAGGGTGACTGCCCTTCACACGTCATCCTTGCTTTTGTTTGCTTATTTTTTTAAGCCAATTGCTGCGGCTGTAGTTGAGCTCTGGGCAAAGGGATTCTCTCCGCTGAATGCCTAAAAGGAGGTCATCAAGCAGAGGACACAGGCACCCGCCGGCACCAGGAGGCTGGGCAAGAGGAGTGCAGGAGGGCTGAGCTTGGGGGTGGGCTGGAATGTGGCAGGGGGTGGGGGAGGTGCCCCAGTTCTGAAGCAAAGCTTAGCCTGTCATCATTCCATTCTGAAAGGGTGTTTTGTGGGAAGCAGAAAAGCTGGTAGTGTCATTTTCCCCAGTGTTTGTGGTAGGTTCCAGGAGGGCACACTGCCACCAAAGAGCTCTCGAGCTGGCCAGGTGCAGAACATGTCTGCAGAGCTTGGATGGAGAAGCTCCTCCCTGGCCTGCCTCGAGGACTCATCTTCAGCCCTAGTCAGAGGACAGGAAAGGGCCCCTGTGTCACATCCTTGCCAGCTGTCCCGAGGGCCTAGCGATTGCAATGACACGGCCGCATCACGCAGACTCCTCCAAGACGCTTTCAACTCATCATGCGATTGTGTAATTATGGTGATTACAGCTTATAGCTTTTTCCCTCTCTTCATCCTTGGCTTTCAAATTCTTTGAGGCCTCTCATTAAACATGGTGATCCCGGTAAAGTCAGCAAAGTTTTAATAAGACATTTTGAAAGATAAAGAAAATCCAGTCCAAGTTGATTGTTACTATGTTTGCTCAGTCTTTTAAAACTGTCAGGCAGAATTGGTGTCTGGATGGAAGAGACAGAGAGAGAAGGGTGTGAGAACCCAGGGGGTACCTCCTATTTTCACAGGGTTGGGGAACTGTTTTATACGGGGCTCCTGGGCCTTCTCAGTTGCACCAAGAGCCTGATGCAGCTGCACCCGGTGCCTAATGGGAGAAGACAGACAGCCAAGCAAGAGAAGAGGGCCCGGCCTTCCCATCATAGCAGATTAAGTTGGAAAAAGGAGGTGGAACAACCTAACTTTATAATCTGCATCAAAGTCAGGGGGAAATTCCCAGGGGCTCTTTGTCCTGGGGGGATGATACTGGAAGGTTCCAGGGCATCCATAATTTTAAACATGTAAAGGAGTCCACATTAGCCTGTGTGAGTGACCCTACCCCAGCAGCCAGTCATAGTTGGAAGGAGCTTTTCTTGGTAATGACAGAGCTTCTTCCCACCCACCCTTTCACATGTTAGCCCTCCATCACAGCTTCCCTGAATTGTTTCTAGATCTGTGGGACTTCATCAGAAGGATGACTAGGAAGGAATGTGGGTGGAGTGTTGGCCACAGAACCCACCACCCACATTTCAGCAGTTTCGCTCAGGTTTGGGGTCAAGGTCACCCCAGCACTACAAGGGGGTGCATTCTGCCCCAGCAGGAGTATTCTTTAAGAACCCCTTGTGTTGTCTGACCTGAACCACACAGCCTGCTCCTCAGCCTCTTGGTTGCCCACTGGCTGGGGCATGACTCAGCAGTTGCCAGGATTAAATGTTGTCAAAGCCAGCCAGTGACACGTCCCCCAACTGCACTGTCATCCCCTACTAAAGATCACCTGTTGACTTTGCCCCCTGAGAAGTGTCCCTTTACGGGCCCCCGGAATGTAGAGAAATGGGCAGCCTGGTAGAATCTGGGCAGCCTGGTAGAATCCGGGCTCTCCACCCACTGCCACTATATAGACCCAGCAAGACTCACTTGCCCCCCAGCCTGTGGCTCACCAGGAAACCCGCTCTGTGGGGTGCTGGCACTAAATGTGCGTTTCCTGGAAGCTCGGGGCTGTACCAGGGCGTGGTCAGAGCAGGCTTCGTTCTCCTCCAGGGCTGCCTCTTAGCTGGGTGACCGGTGCAGCTCCTCTTCAGCCTCAGTTTCCTCACCCGTAAAAGGGAGATGGGAGCACACGAGGAAGTGGGGGAGACCCACCATGTGCTCAGCTGCATGCTTGTACCGTCTGTGCCAACACAGCTCTTCTACTGTTCTTGCCACTATTACGAGATTACATGAAGCCCTGGCTTAGCTCTTATCACCATCTTAAATTTCCTGCAAGATTCTGCCAGGTAGGTACCTGGGTACTTGTTTAACAGTTGACGGTGTTTCTGTGGGTATCATGTATGACGTGTGCTGAGCACATGGGTGCATGACAAGGAGCCACTCGCAGAGCTCCTCAGTGGCTCCCGGTATATGGTAGCTATTTTTATTGGCTTGTTTTTTGACTCAAATCACAGAGCTGGTTTTTCTGCTTTCCCTTGAAGCAGAAGAAAGGACCGTGGGCAGCTTCTGCCCTCTGGTCAGTTTCTCAGGGGCTTTCAGTACTCGCCAGGAAACTGGAGGACTTGCAGATGGTGGTGCGGGGAGGTGGGGCAGCCTCAGGAAAGGTAGCAGACTGCCAGGAACTGGCATTTGCTGCTCGCCATCCCCCACTTGGCTGCAGGGGCCCGAGAGGCCTCCTACTCCTACACAGAGCAGGAACGCTTCTCCCTCCTAAGTGTGTGCCAGCTAGCCCTCCAGATGCATGGCCAAAGTCTCCCTCCCAAAACGCTCACCTTCCAGCTGTCTGCCTGCCTGGAGTCACCCTGAACAATGCAACCTCACCAAGGCCGGTCACTCCATCCGCCAGATACACAAAGGCGTCTATTTTTTAACCACATACGACAAAGTGGGGTTGTGGGAGGAATCAGAAGTGGCAGGCAATGCTACGAAATCCCTCGTAAACCAGACCCCTGGGGTGCACTCTCCGGGTGCTTGTAGTATTGACAGAACCTGAATAGAGAGGCCATTTCCATGGACATGAGTGGCTTTTTCCTGGGGAGAATTCAGGTTTCTTATATGTACTGAAAGGTAAATGTGTTAAGTTTGCAGTGTTTGTCAAAGTTTGGCAACTCGGGAGCCTGGGATAAAGCTCCACAGCCAATCGCAAGGCTGCGTACCCACCATGCATGAGCGGCTTACGCGGTGCCGCGGCGTGAAGAGCACGTGAGCGTAAGCACAGCTATATCCACAGGTGCATGGCCGTCTGATCCGCGCCGCCGCCTTCAGCGTATGGGACGTGCGTAACCCACGCTGCAGTCCTGCATGTGCCTCTGTGCTTGGCTTACCTACGCCCCGCAGCTGCTGCATGTCCGGGCAGGGGCTCCCCTAAAGCCACAAGTCTTCATGGTTTCAGCTGGATAAGTTATTCTTCACTTCCCTTCCTAAAAACACAATTGCCTAGTGCTGCTGGCGCAGAGTCAGAATGGCCGCTGCATTTCACCCCCGAGGTGGCTTCCTTCCAGCAGTGGGTGAGTGATCCCGGCGTCCGTCTGTGCTCTCTAACCTTCTTTGTGATCCTTCTGCACAGAAAGTGTTTAAAGAAAAAAAGTCGGGAGGAGGTGATCTGTTTGTCCGTGGCCTGGTCTCCACCCACCACTCCTGTTCTCACCCCCTCATTCATAGAGTCAGTGGCATGTATTTTTGGTATCCCCCCGCACCCATTTTTCCTGCCCATTTTTGTGCTCAGTTTTTCCTTCTAAGAGGCAAGGGACTGAGGGGTCCAGAAATGGTGGCCAGAGGCACCACAGGGATGATATCTCTAAGATATTGATCCTGTCACTCACTTCTCCAGAACCCCTAGCAGAACAGGACAGAAATGCCCACTGCATTTGAAGATGCTTTTAAATCCGACAGCGGCGACCTCTGACTTATCTCCCAGATACAGCTTCCATTACCCTTCCTCTGTGGCCCAGAGCCAAGTCCTGCAGGAAACTTGGAAATCTCACATTTCTTTCTACATAGTAGGTCACCAAGGGAGGAGAAGGTTAGGCAAGCCCCACCCTCTGTCCCAGGGGAACCAAAGGCTTGGCAGCTCCAGGAAAAGGGTCTCTAGGGAAGGAAGAACTCTCCCCCTGGCTAGGAGTTCCCTCCACACAAGTTTCGATCCAGACATCTCTTGAAAACACATATTGACCTGACCCCTGCTGCACTTTTTCAGGTTGGAAATACGTGTCTGATAAAGACCTGCCGACCTGCATTAGGGTGATAGGGAGGAGAGAGAAATGAGCCAGGCTTCTTTGCATGGCTGTCAAAATGGATCTGGACTTTCCAGAAAGAAAGGTGGCTGGGGGGGGGGGGGTTGCTACCAGATGTCTTCTGCATTTTCACCCTGAGGTGGCTTCTGCCCGCAGTCAGGATTTGGTCCCCTGTGCCCTCTGGACTCTGCCTGGGCAGCTGGCTTACCCAAGGGCATGTTCTGGGCATACCTGTTTGCAGATGATAAGTGCCCTCAGGACGGGAGGGTGGAGAGGAAGTCCTCGTGGGTCCTTTGGAGAATCGCACACTACCAAGCAGTGAGTCCTCCACTAAACTCCAGTGGCACTCTCCCCCGTAGGCAGCGTCAAGGGTCACTTGAACTTCCTTGTTGGGAAAAGGGTAGCCTCAAGTTGTTGCCAGTAGCAACACAGCCAAGTCCCTGCTTCCTTGAATCTTTTGCCCTTTGCCTAATTTGAAGGGGACCATGGCCAAGAAGCCAGAGTACACAGGGGGAGGAGAAAGGAAAAGAGAGGAGGCAGGCATCGCCAGGTCTTGTGGAAGGCATTCTCCCGAGGGCCTTTAGAGCCGAGTGCCCGCCTGCGGCCATCCTGTGTCCACTGACAACTTCCTGCAAGCTGAGCGTAGAAAGAGCCCGGGGTGGTCGCTCAGAATCAGAGGGAGGAGAGAAAAGAGATCCGGCTGTGAAAAGGGGGCATTTCCCCTGCATGAGGAAAAAGAATGCAAGTAAAGTGAAATTGCACAACTTGGAACGGAGGCTGGGGCGCCTGGGCATCCTGCCACCAGCACAGGGCACAGCTGCCGAGCCCTTGTCACTCCCGGCATGCCTGCCAGCTTTCAGATTTGTCCCCACACATTGCCTGGGGGAACCAGGGAGGAAGGTCTTCTACCACCCACCAAAACGAACAGGCAGAGGTTGATTCTTGCACAGAGGCGCGAGAAATACACCCCACAAGGGCTTCCCAGCCTGTTTGGCACCCAAACTCACACACTTGTTTCTAATTGCAGTTGGTTCTAGTTGAAGTAAGGCAGTTCTGCCAGCTCCTTCTTAGGAAGGTAAACATCACACCTGCTTCTCTCCTCCCTGAGATGGTTGCTATGGAGATCCCAGAGGCGTCAGCCCCAATAACAGGAGACCGCAAACAGAATTGGTGGCTTCACCTGCCTGCCCAGCAGCTGCTTGAAATCCACATGCACCAATCAGTGGTGACCTGCTCCCCATTTGCCACAGTAGGTAGAGGTTCACCTGGCCAGGTTTGCCAGTCAGAAAGTGGCACCACCCACTCTCAGCCACCCCAGATGTGATGGAGGAGAGGCGATGAAGGCAGAATAGAAATGCCTGAGCTGGTCTCAAGTGTCCCCCAGAACCAGGCTGAGAAAGCTTACTGGTGGTGCCACCGAGTGAGGTCTCCTTGTGCAGACACGGGGGGCATGGAGGAGCCCTTCTTCCCCAGGCGTTCGCTCCTGCCTCCTTCCTCGAGCGTGATGGCCACATACAAAGCAGAAAGTGCCGTGGCCCACTGAGTGCACCCAGGCAAGTTCTTGGCCTTGATTTGAGCCTGGTCCGCCACCTGTCCCATGGGGGTCAAGTCATTTTTAACTGGCAGGAATGGCGAGGACATGAGTGGCAGAGCTGGGAAAGCCTAGTGTGCTGCGGGATTTGCTGTAGCCTTCAGGTGGCCATGGGGAAGGGCCCCGGCTCCACCACGCTCCCATGGCCACCTTCCCTGCCCCACCACCAGCAAGGTCTGGAGACCCTTGGCAGGGGACGCACCTGAGCTGTTGAATTCACCCGAGTTAGCAGGAATAAGAAATTAAAAGAAAATCCTCGGGAGATCAGGAGGTCACCCGCATTTGCGGTAGGAGGGCTGGTAACTTGCCCTTTCTAAATTTTCTATTTAGAAAAAAAGAAACAGCACTGGTCATTTGCAGCACTGGCTAGAGCGAGGTGTCTGAACTTGGCGATGGTGCCAGTGACATTTTGGGGGAGTTGCTTTCAGGAGATGAGGCTGCTGCTTGTACCCCCCCAAAACCTGGTCACTTCCACTACTGTCCAGAAGGCTCTGGGCTTCTTCAAAAGAATCTGTTTTCCTATCATATTTCTTCCTTTATAAACAGTGCATTTGAATGTATATTAGTTCTTCAGCCAATGATTTTTTTTAATGAATTTGATTTTTGTATTGGGGTGTTGTTTTATGTTTGTGCTAGGTCTTATTTTAAAAGTTGGATAAAGAGAATATTTTAAAACTAAATAAATGTCCCATAGCACCTGAAAGAGATCAGAAAGCTTGGCCAGGACCCAAGAGAAACGCACACCCCAGGAATGCCCCGTGCCCAGGGCTGCTGCCCTGCAACTGGACCCAGCATGTGTCCGTTCCTCCTCCCAGAGCCCAGCGACCTGCCCCTCTAGCAGCCGGTCACCTTCAGCTACCCCATAACCTGACTTTTCCACTTCTCTGCCCTGCCTTGCTTCACAAAGTTGAACAGAAGCAATGAGAGAGGGTGAGTTGAAAACTTTTTGAAACTATTCTATATGAAGCATGGATTTTCCTACCATCCTGCCAGAGTGCCTCAGACCTCTAAACTATCCCAAATAAGTGGCAGTCTGCCCCCCAAGAAAAGGGGATGGCCTTCAGAAAGGAGAGAGGCCACTGAGTTGCTTAGGCTCCCTTTTAAAATCACTCCTTTTGCTTGGAGAAGGGGTACCGGGAACTCCAGTCTCCAAAGAAGTCGCCTGGGGAAGTCGGGCAGCAAATTGATTCAGCATGCTCAAGCCAGGACCTCACCTCTCCACCGAGTTCCTAACCCTCCCAGCAAGTCCCCAAAGCCTGTGATTCCACACACAGTCATCATTTGGAAACTTGAGAATCATCTATTCAGGGTGATCCCCTTGAGAGCACAGTTCATCCCTGGCACCTCTTACTTTGCACCTGCTGGGTCACTCAGTGGGCCCTGTTCAGCCAAACACCATTTTTCATTTTCAAGGCTGGAAAATGCCTGTGTTACAACCAGGCAATCTGTCTGGGTCAATGGAGATGAGAAATAGTGTTTCCAGATTAGCTCTATTGCAAGTTCTAGCTCTCCCAGCAGAGGAACCTGGCTTCCTCTTATACTGATGGCAGGAAGCTTTGAAGTTAGCCTAAAAGCAACAAAATCCCAGCAACTGTAAAAGAGCAAGGAGTGGGAAATTTCAAAGCAGAAATAGGATAGCTGAGATATTTTTTCTAATCTTTTTCCTCCCTTTTGCAGTTTAATTACATATGGCAAAATGAACAGATCTGAATTGTGTGGTTCAGGGTATTTGACAGAGGCATGTACCTCTGTAACCTATACTCATCATCCAAAAAATTTCCTGATGACCCTTTCTAATCTCATCCTTGCCCTGTGGGCAACCACCATCAATTTGTAGCCCTAGAAGTAGCCTGGATTTTGACCTACTGGACCTGAGATCTGAAAATTTGGTCCTAGACCATCTGGGCAAGTCAGCAAGAGAATCTCACCAGCAGCTCAGCGACCTTGCCGCCTATGCCTTGCAAAGGGTCCTTCTGAGCCCTTGGGGTGCGGGTGGCCCCTTGTTGCCCTGATACGCCCATTAGCCCCAGGGCGACTCTCTGAGCCGCAGCCTTCTCCCAGCCAATGAGTCTAGCATCAGCCTCCCAGGTAAGTAAGTGGCGTGAGCTCTTGGCAACCCGACCGTGCATGAAAGCCTTTGTTGATTAATATCTGGAAGCGCAGTGCACAGAGCCACAGCATGTCAAGCAGCATGTTGATTCTTCTTAAAGCGCCACACAAAAGGGAGCTGTTCCTTTTGTGTCTTTCCTTTTAGAAACAAAGGAGTTCATGACCACCTTCTTCCAGGTTTCTAGCTATCAAGATGGCCACAGTTGAAATGACTAGTCAGGGTGGAGGGCGGAAATTGGATGTGTGGGTGTCGTGAGCTCAGCCCCTGAGCTTGGGGTCCATGAAATGGAAGGATCCCAAATGCTGTTGGATTAAACTTTGCCAGATATTTCAAAGGTGAAAAAGTACATTGTCTGAATACAAAGCTTTCGTATCTTTGGAACGTACCTTCTGCAGCTCAGCTCTTAATCACTGTATATTTTTTTCACTCGGACAAAGGCTGCCTGCTAATAGCCTTTTCAACCACCTTCGGCTGCTTCGCTCAGCTGTGCCAAAGCCTCAGGCTGAGCTTGGCTGCAGTTCCCTGGCACCACGACCTGTTCCCAACTGACCGGCACTGAGGAACATCGCACACTCACAGTCTGAAAAAAACTGCTTCCCCTGTAACTATGCAACATGCCAGGCAGAGACAATTACCACTCCCCCATTCCTTCAGAATCTTCCAACTGGAGGCTGGGATGGAGTGGTGTGGAGTGCAGAGACAGAGGAGAGACCCAGGATGGGGGCAGGAGTTCTCTAGGTAGCTCAGGAACACCCGGCAGCCCCCAGCAGTCTAGTCTCGGGACAGCTCATCGCTGACTGAACACAGGTAGCCTCCGCTGTCAGATTTCACTTTGATCCCTGAAAACTACCAGAGCCTCAGCTCTTCAGAGGGTGTCAGCTGCTGAGCCAGTGTGATTGCAGGATGTCTTCCCCAAAGCCGGAGGCCAGACATCTAGCCATGCCTGCATCCTGCATGAATAACTGCTTCCACCCTCACCCGGGAGGGAGGCCACTGTGTAGCGGACAGATTGCAAGTTGGGCTGAGCCACCTCCCGAGCCAACCTGAACCCACATCACCTCCTGGAGCAGCAGGACTGGCATTTGGTAAATGCCGTGAGTGCAGGAAGGGGGAGAGAGAGACAAAAATGCGAAGGAGCACCGCCTGGAACAATGTCAGGGCGTCTTCTCTGTGGGCTGCACCCACCACCCCCAAGTTGTGAGAAGTGGAAACAGCTGGAGGAAGGGAAGGGGCAGGTATTTGGCTGGTCACAGGTCCTGGAGTCAGAGCTGTGAAGCTGAGCTCCAGGATTTAGCCAGGAAGGGATTAATTAGCACCCTCTGAGTCCAGCCTAGCCCATTCTAGAGACCCTGGAGGGGGTGGAGGGCCTGTGGCCTCAAGGCCAAATTCCCCCAAGGCAAATAGACAGACATACAGTCCTCCAGAAATAGACACTCCAACCTCCCTCAACCCATGGCCCCCTCTCCAGCCAAAATGACCTCACTAATGAGAGTGAAGCTGTAATGAGGGCTTGGATGCCCGGTAAACCTCGCCTTCTTTGTCTCTGGGCTTTTAACATCCCCACTGACAACGGATTGTTACTCGGAAGCACTGGTGATTTCTTTTTTCACATCGCTAACTAAATCAGAGCCCCGGATGCCATGTATGGCAAACCTGGAATTCATCTATTTGGGTGCATGATATGTGATTTCTGGCCTTGGTGGTGCAGAGATGGAAGGAGGGAAAGGAGTCCGTATTTGCATGCAGCAGTAAGTGGCACCCAAGTGCAAAGCATGTTCTCAAGCAGGGGTGGACATGTGGATGAAGGACAGGGAGGGGTATTCAAGCTCTCCAACTAGGAGGTCCCTGGGTGCATTCAGCCCACTGTTCCCCAGAGGCCTTACACACCACCCCAAGACAGCCAGCCTGCAGGCCTGCACCCGAAGGTGCAGTTCCCAAGTGAACCAGCCAGATGGTACATGCAGAGGGCGCCATGTATCAAGGGCAGTCCGGGAGAGTGATGGCCATGAGTGTGCCTGCGGTTCCAAGGCGGGCGCGTCCTTGAAGGTCAGCATCGCCGAGCCCCAGCAACGGTCATGTCTAAGCTGCTCTACACGCAGCCATAGCCATCCTGGTTTTAGTGATTGCAAAGACTGGTATTGCATCTCAGATTTTCAAAAAAATAAGAAAAAAAAATCTGATTACAAAATCCTGAGCCTTGTAGAGAGGTGTCCTGCTGCAGGCTAAGTTTAGTAATTGAAGATTCAGAAAAGGCTGCTGGTGGGGAGATTTTGTGTGCACATGTGTATGTTTTGTAAGACAGGTAAAGAAAAAAAAAGATATTTTGTCTCACTAGTAAAAACTGGGAATGAAAGAAAGGAGGAGGGGAAAGAACAAGGAGAGGTAGATGCAGACTTTCCAAGAGCTCCTGAGGGCAATTCCATTTCTGGACATGCTCCCATCATGCCATTGGAATTTAAAGTCAAGCTGGTCATGTCCCTCCACGGAGCGCTAAGCCAGATGACACATTGTCCTGCATCCAGCAAGCTCACAGCCTTGTTGTTTGTGTATTAGTTATACCCATTATCCATCAATTCATCAATCAGCAGGTTTACTACATACTTCACAGGCTTACAAACGGGATCAATTTTTTTTTAATTACATCCAGCTCACAGGCAGCCAAGTCCGGTAAACATGATGAGCCCTCATACCCCACTTGAAAATGAGCATGAGCAATTGCTGGCCCTGGCAGTCCCACGCCACCCAGGCCGCCCGTGCAGAGCCCAAATAACGTGGTGCCCTTTGCAGATGGCGATGGTGTCGCTGACCCGCTGTCAATATCAGGATGGGTTTTGAGTGTTTCCTCAGACACGCTGATCAATCTACTTGGGTCCAGCCACACTCCCCTGGACCCCTTTCCAATGCTATGGATTTCTGAAATGGGTGAACAGGGAGTGGGCACTAATTATGTGAAGGGAAATAAGCCTGCTCAGCTTCTTCATCCCTTCCTGGGCACCCAGGAGCATATCAGAGCTCCTCAGCCAGCTCTTCCTGGGTGTGGGGGCAGCTGGTCTCTCTCAGGACCTCTGTGCCTCTTGCACCAGGCCTCATGGTCTGGTACAATATTCTTAGTTTTTGGAAAGAACTTCTACAGAGGTTGGGTGTGAATGGTGTATAGGTTTCCCGATACACAGTCTTAGCCCCAAGGTACGGTGGATGGGAGCCAAGAATCCAGGAGGTGGCTGGCACGCACTACCTGGATCCTGTGGTGACCTCTGGTCACTAGCCCAGGCTCTAGGCCATGTCACCTGCCCCTGTGCTGTTACTGTCCAGACCAGACATCAAGAGCATCAGGGCCTGTGAGTCTGTCCCAAGGAGAACTTGGTCCTGCATTTCAGACAGGACGCCTGGGTCTTTAACATTCCTAAGCCTAGTTAGTACCTGCTTTTCCAGTCACCCACATCTTGAGCCATCATCTATTTGAGTCGATCTACCCTCCTGATCCTAGCATTCCACAAACCACATTCTTCTTCTCGCTTGACTCAAGTTCAGGGCAACCCACAAACACTGAGAGACACTCTAGCCAAGCATTTCAATGTCTGGTTTGGAGTAAGTAAAGTTCCCTCACCCCAAGAGGAGTCCCAGCCACAAACCCTGGCTCCCGACCAGCCCCAGAGTCCTGGATCACTCTGACACTCTGCAGTTAAGGTTCCCAAACCCAGCGGTCACGTGGGCCATTTAGTTAGGTCGTTTGGCCTTTGTGGCTGATACAATAATTAATTCACTTATCTGCTCTCTGTCTCTGTCCCTGTGTGTGCGTGTGTGCACCTGTGTGTGCCTCTCTGTCACCTGTCTCTGCAGGGAAAGTCGCTGGCGGGCAGGCGCCTCACCGGCCTGATGCAGTCCTCCTGACGGTCCCCAGCCCAGGGCCTGGCCCCGAGGACCTTACGGGCAGGCGGCGGCGCTCCACCTCTGCAGACAGACTTTCCCTACGGGGAGATTTGGTCACTGTGAAAGAAAAAGAGTGAGGGTGACGAAGGTCATTGGCGGGGAGACACAGTGGGCAATCAGAACGGGGACACCAGAGGGTGTCCACAAGGCCTGGGGTCGGGCCCCCCGAGGCCCCCCCGTTTACAGCCCACTCTTCCTGTACAGTTGTGCTCCGACACCCTGGTCTCTGAGACACCTTGTCCCTAACTCAGTCAGAGGAGGGCACCTCGGAGCCCCTGTTGTGACAATCACTGGAGCGTCTACTCTTATTGTCATCACTCCTCCCCCTTCTGGGGGATCATGCCTTCCAGCAAACTCAAGCCGGACCAAATTGGCCCTGAGCACACCCAGTATTAAGCCCCTCCCCACGGCCTCCCTGGTGCACCCCCCTGAGTTGCAGCCACTGTGTCCTGAGCGCCTCCTGCCTCCTCCCCTCTCTGTGGACGCCCCTTGTAAGGCTGGTGTCAAGCTTCACCCTCCTGTCCCGTCCCGTCGTTGGCCCTGAGCGTCCTTGTGGATGGCTGCCTCTCGCATCTTTCCACCCTCCTTTGAGACCAGCTCTCGAAGAGGTCTCAGCGGGCATGGTGGCTGCTGCCCTCTGGTCCTGTCAAATCTCTTAAGGGTCCAACACTAGATGACACTCACCCCATGGATGAAAGAGCTTGCTGTCCCACAGCCGTGGGCGTGCTGATGACCAACTTTTAAACATCTTATTATTTTGCAAATTACCCTGTTTGTGTCCCTTGCTCCTTGGTTTGTTCCCTCATGTTTTACTCAAAATAAACATGGCCATGAACTTGGGGGCCATTCCACTCCACAGCCCAGGTTGGAAGCTGGGCGGGTTCCCGGCCAGGGGAGGCTGGGCGGGGCGGCTGGCAGCCCCAGCTCTCACTCAGCATCCCGGTGCGAGGCCTGTCTGAAACAGAATCTGCCATGGAGAGGCCAGGCCGGGACCAAACGGGTCATCCCAGCCCACGGGGCCGGGCATCGAGGGGGAAAGCTGACTCTGAAAACAATCTTACAAAAGACCCATTTGTATTCCCTTCGTGTGTGTGTCAAATGGCTCTCCGCCAACCCAGCTGTGAGGTAACATATGTAAAGCACCGAACCAGGTGCTTGACGCACAGTAGGTGCTTAGCAAATGGTAGCTATTACTCTCCTCATGGTCACTGTCCTCCTTGTGACTTCCAGGAGGCTTCGGACAGCCCGGTATTAAGTGACATGTTTTTGAATCCAGACACTCACTCCCCCACCTGCTGTGACTCCTCCTTGGACCTATTTTTGGCCATAGGTGGAAACTCTCCCTCAGGAGCACATACACAGAGAAGCCCAGATGGGATCACTGGCCTGTCTTTACTCATGTAGGCAAATTCCCCAGCTGGTGATCAAAGGCGCATAAGCTTGTTTGCAGACCCCACCTCCTGGGGGGTCCCCTGAGATGGTCTTTCCATCCCCCACCTGCACTCCCGGGCACCCATCTGTTTCTGGAGGGGCCTGTCCCCATGGCACCAGCCTTCCCTGACTCCCAGGGGAGCCACCATGGGCGTTACCAGGCCCGATTAGCGTCGCCCCTCGTGGCCCCTTGCCCGCCACCCTCAGCTTCCCCCATGGGCAGGAGCTGCCCTCTCAGTGAGGTGCAGAGGACATTAGAGAGATGACATATGTTGAGTCCTCAGAGGACTCCAAAAGTGGCAATACAGACCCAGATTCTTCTCGGAGCCTCCCACACCCTCGAGCCACACGACCTCACACAGCCTGGCGCTTGGCAGACGCCCGGGAACTAGACGATGACTCACCGAGAGAAAGGAAGCCCAGGCCTGCGTTACAGGGCCTGCTGGCTCGTCCTCCTTGTCCTACCCTTTGTTGTTGCTGTTGTTGTTTTCAGTCCTCTTGCACTTTACTCAGACCTCCAGTCTCAGAACCAAGTTGAAGTCCAAATTCTTTGCCCATAGGAAGCTCGGTCCTGCCTCAGCCCCCCAGGTTATGCTGGCACAGAGGCACAGGGTACATGGGCAAAGGGTTTTTCAGGCCAGCAAGCACGTAGGTGCCCTCACTGCACAGGGCCAGTGGCTGCTTCCTGCCCTTCCCAACCCTTTCAGGGGCTGCAGGCAGAGCGGGGGCGGCTCCTCTACCCACTGAATAATGCTGACCTGAAACCTGGCCTCATCCTGGGGCCCCCCAGGGGGCCAGCCAGAGCCAGGTGGACTGTGGCCATGAGATGGAGCAGGTTGGAGGCTTCCAGACACCTCTGGGCATATCAGAAGGGGAGTCAGGCCAACAAGCTCAATAGAGGTAAGGGCATTTCAGATGCTTTCAAACCCAGAGCAATATACCCCCACCCCACCTCCCAAGGAGACAAGCTCAGTACTGTGACCACCGCCGTGTGCTCCTCAGTAGATTTTACCAAGCTGTGGGGGTGTCACAGGGTTGCTCTGCCCAAGTTGGCCAGTCCAGTGTCAGTCTACTAAGCAGACCTTAGCCTGCAGCATGCTTAGAAAACCTGGTCTTATCTGGCCCCCATTGGCCTGGTCCATAGAGCCAAAGGATAAGACCAGTTTACATGTGTAAAGGCAGTTCTGCAGCAAGACAGATGAAGTGTTTCTGCCCTGACTGGGCCTGATCCCTGGAATTCTTCTGATGCAGACTTATAAGAAGAAGTCGTGTTGGCCAAAGAATCAGGGCAGCCTTGGAAATGACCACCTACCCATCAGATCAGACACACAGGTCCCAGACAATGAGCATCTGACTAAAATAGCCTTTGCCTACATGGGAAAAGTAACACTTGAAAGTTGGCCCCTGCAAATGTCCAGCAGCAGCCACAGGCCTGACTAAAACAGCAGGAATTTGGGGCTGCAAAAAAGGCTCCTGTCCTTCCAGAAAGTAAGGTTGTGTTCTGCTAAGAAGGTGCCCAGCAGGGCCCCAGACCCCAATGCAACCAGATGGGCTGTTCTCCTTTCCGGCCCCAACATAGAACAGCCCAGGGCCAGACCAGCCCCCTGAGGAATCACTCAAAACTTGGAGATGCTTCTAGAACCAGTGAACATAGGGGACAAGTCCCAGTGGCTTTTCCACTGGCAGGATTGCTGGTGTGTTCAAACTACCTCACCAAAGGACATGAAGCAGGAGCTTGTCACCTGTCTGACCCTGGGCTGCTTGTGGAAAGTTGACGTTTTCCTAAAATACACCCTCTTCCCATTCAGCTCCCTATTCAGGGACTGCGAAAATCACGATTAGGAAGCTCTCCCAGAAGCTAGACTGAATTGGAGGTCGATCTTTGGGCCTTATAGAATGTATTGGAGGAAGGTGTTCCAGCAAGGTCCAGGAGCTGGAAAACCTGGTTGGGGTGGGCTGGTGGGCTGGGGGAGAGGGCAGTGTGCTCCCAGCCCCCAGAGGGGCTGGCTAAGCTGAGTATGTAGCAAGGACCATGTGTGGCCTGGTTGAATAGTGGCCAAATGAATCCCTGATAACTCACCACAGGACCCTCTGAAGAGAGGTCTGTGCTTGCGTAACCACGGCAACGGCAGACGCCAGCAGCCTACTCATTAGTACCACCCAGTGATAAGGCATCCCCTGGGTACAACCCTGGGCCATAACGTAGCAAAGTAGCAAATGTAGCAATAAGGGTCCAGGGCTGTAAAGGGACAGGGTCGAAATGGCCCCCGCCTCAGCCCTGGCCCCAGCCCCAACAAGGGCCCCAGCCAACTGTCTGCTGTCCGGGGGTGGAGGCTGTGCTCCAGTCGAGGGCTCCTGTTCTATTCTATGCCCACTCACTGCATGGTCACCGACACGTCAGAATGGCCTTCTCATAGTGCATGTGGTTCTTATTAGTTTATTTTTCTGGAATTTGGGGATTGAACCCCAGAACCAAACATGCTGACAATAAATGACTTGAACCCACTATAATCCAACAAATGCTGTGTGACTCCTTGGCTTGGGGGTTTGATGGGCAGAATTTTCCACTAAGAAAAATATCTAACATCACATCGCACTCCCCAGTGCTACTAACACACACACACACACACACACAACTGTTTCGTCCTCCATCCCATCCACCCTGGTAGGATGGGACAGTGGTGTCACCAGAGATTGAAGTCCCTGACTACCTGGGTCTCCTAGCTGAGTGGTCTTTATGCCCCTTTTTCTGTGCTCAGCCACAAGGTCCTGCAGCCTGACCAGCATCAGCAGTGGCCGACATCACTCTGATGCCCCTGAATCAAGTCCCAAGGTTGAGCTCTGCTGCGTACAGACAGCTCCTTACAGGGAGCCGTGGCTCCCTGAGAGAAGACAATCTCATCTCCCACTAACACCAATGCACACACCGCTGCTAGCCTGGAAGTCAGGCTGAGGAGAGGAGGAAGAGAACACGGGGGAAGGAACTGCACGACTGTCATGCCTTTACCAGCAACAGAGCTGACACCTCACAGCTTGCTTCGGTGCAGAAACATTCTCCCCAAAGCAGAAATTACCTCAGAGGCATGGAAGGGGTCCTCAGTCACAGATGCCTGGGAAACAACTTGTCTCCCAGCCCCTTGTACACCCCCCAGAGTAGGACGTCGGGTCCTGAGAGGTCAAGATCAAGGTCACACCTGCCACGATGCCCCAGGCGTCATGTCCACAGCGTTTCCCGCTGTCCAGTCTCGGCCCACCATGAAAGAGCCACACTTCCCTGTCCTCTTTGATCATGGCCACCACCTCCAGGTCCCCTGGGAGCCTCCTACCTGCTGAGCCATCTGGCTCATTTCCAGGATCTTTGTTTAGCAAGCTGTCACGGTGACGCACGTCACTGCTGACCACGGAGAACAGGACTGTGGCAGGGCCAGCAGGAGGTGGGGACGTGGAACTGCTGGCTCTAATGCCAAGTTCCACGCTCACCCGGGAATGTCTGACACCCTTCTGACTGTGCCCTCTCCACGCTCTTTAGGACACTTCTAACATAAAGGGCGTGAAGTGGCCCTCCCTGGTGGCACAACAGGTTAGGATGCTGCACTGCAAGTTGGTCACAGCTGCCTCAGTGTGTTCGATCCCCGCCCCAGAGGTGACCCACATGGTGCAGCAGACATCTCCTGATCTGCCCACTGCTCCCCTCAGCAGTGTACTTCACCAGTTGGCCTGTTCTGCTCCCCACTTTGTTGCTGGTGAAGCCTCTCACCGCCCCTGCACCTCTGACCTGTACCCAGTTCTGTATGCACAAATAAATAAATCTTTTAAAAAAAATAATCCTATCGCCCCACCCAAAGTTCCCTCCTACCCCTCATGATTGACCCCCTCTCCTCACTGCCCTGTTCCTGGCAGCGGTTGGCATGTGTTTTGACCTTGCAGTTGTGTCTTTTTCAGAACATGACCCGAGGGAATCACAAGCACATGACCTTTTGAGTCTGGCTTCTCTCCCCAGCCCAACACACACTGCTGCCTATGTGCGTAGCTTGTTC